GTGAAAGGCAAATTCTTATTGTCCTTTGTTTTTGATACAATCCACAGTTTCTAATAATTATACTAGAAAAAGTTCGGCCAAAAAAAATAAATCAGTTTAATGTATCGTATTCAAAATTATGAAAGAAGAGGAATCTATAATTTTGAATAAAATGAGCTTCTGTATGAGATGAACCATGATTCTTTATATGATTAATAAAAACAATAACGTGTGAGTAATTAATAAAAAAATAACCGTTTATTTTTCTAACTTCCGCATTCCTTCGAATATGAACTCGAGCAAAAAATTTAATTATTGCTATCGATGGGTTGTTTTATCCTAATAAAAATAAAATTAATAAATTTATCAACTTTGATGTTAATTTTTATATGAAATCAAAAATTTCAGTCAAGTTATGTCTGAGTAAAAATTAAACTAAATTCTAAGTATTAAAATAAATATTGCCGGGAAATAAGGATAATATAAAACAAAATTTTGATTATTTATTTTGTTTTATTTATTTCTTATCTATTCACTTTTTGTAGCTTTATTTATTTATTCATTCATTTCTTGTTTGGTTGTTCACTGACAAACGAACCAACACCAATTTTATGGCAATTAATTGATTGCCATAAAAACAACAGCACCCAAAGAGCTGCTAATTTATACTGTAAATTAGATTTTTTTTTCTTTAACATTTTAAGGAACAACGGAATCTGATATACCGTAATTTCTATAAACAGTATTATTTACTATAAAATCACTGAATCATTGTAATTAAATAAATATTACTAAAATAATACGGTCTATAATTTTCGGTAAAAATGGATTTTACGGGTAAAAGGATATCTAAAGATGATGCACCCCAATGTGCCGGAAGTACTTTTGACTGTAAATTGATCCGGAACTTTTTATAGTGCAAAAGAAGAAAAAATTCAAAATCCCTCTATAATTATTGGAGGGGATTTTAGTTTAGCATTTGAAGACCAAATGTTACATTCGCATTAATTAATTACTTGCACTAATCATAATTAAAAAATTGACAACGTATTATAGTCTCCGAAGATACTTAACATATACTTTTGTCGAAGGATAAAATTTAACAATGCAAGACCTACCAAGGCTTTGTAGATGCCCAAATGCTTGAACAAACAAAAATAAAAAAAAGGGTGGGTAAAGCAACTCAGGAATGAAAGATGGTTATCATATAAAGAAAGGCTTCTAAGCTGAAATTTGTGTCTTGTTGCACGACGAACCCATGCATAGGGAAGTGTTGCCAAGAATCAAAGCAAAATTTTTTATCCACTTCCTCTAAGAAGGTCTCTTAAGATTGAATAGAACAAAACCATAACATAAATTGAAAAGAAAAACTTGAATAAGTACATCCCTGATTAGCGCGTGGACTTCTTCCTCAGATAAAAGAGAAGTTAAGATTCTTCTCTCTATCTAGGTTTTATTCTTAAGAACGTTAGAAGTTGAAGTTAAGTTTTGTTCTTCCTGTTTCATTTAATATGATTTTATTTTATGATTCAATAAGAAAATGTAATCATGATTAGAATACATGTATGAATTTGAATATTGAGAATAATGTTACATAGCTCTATTATTTTTCAAAGTAGAATAAGTAAATAATATAATTTATAATCACTATCAAATCACAATCATTTGATCAATTTTTACAATTCACTCTCTTTTGTTTAAAACTTGAACCCACTATCTTTACATCGGTACTCGAACCCACTTTCCTTTAATCGGTGCTAGAAACCACTGTCATTTGATCAATCTTTATATTGAGATAGAAATATATTTAGTTGAAATTTTAAGTAAACAAATAACAATTTTATTAAAATGTTTTGCAAAAGTAGAGCTAACTAATTTGCACTAATTTGCAGCTTTTGTCACATTGATATTTACCATTATATTTATCTAAATTATGCACTACTTAAATATATTTCAATATCATTGATTTGATACGTTTTGAAAGAATTATGTTAAAATGGTAGGTAAAAATTTTTAATGTTTGTAAATGGTGCATGAAGGACGAACGATTGAGAACAACTGTTTTAACTATTTTAACTATTTTTGTGATTTTTAATGAAATCACAAAAATTCATTGTTTTACGATTGTTTTTTCTTTACGTTTTATTTAATGACTTAAATAGCTTCTAGTTTATTTTCTCTGAAAATTAGCGTAATTCTCAACTGAAAAAGATTTCAAATAAAAGTCTATGTTCATATCATAAATAAAAAGCCCTATTTCCAAAATTAACAAATTTCGAAACCGCTCAAGCGGGAATGATTTATATAGAGAACCCCTTATGAGTCAGAAGCATTGATAACATAGAAAAAATAATGAATATTCACTAAAATAGGCCATTTAATTTTTTCTTTCGATATAAATCATTTATATTCGTACTCTATATTGTATCCTTAAATACACCAGACATGCCTTTTTCCAACTGACAGACAACTAAACATCCATTTACATGAGTCTTATTTAATTTTTTTATATTTGTGTAGTAACTTTAGCAATAATCGGCCGTGCTATCATAGTTCCGTGATAAGATGACGTCACCATTTGAAGGCTGTTTCGTGACAGTTCTCGCTTTCCACCGCGTGAGAATACGACACGGCCCACATTCGAAAGTAAATTTCATACGTAAAGGGTCCTCTTTTGTTTTGACATTGAAATTATTGAGGCTACAAAGATAACTGGATGAACAGGAGGTTTCAAGTACATTGGAAGTTGGTGCAACTAAAAGACCTCAAACTTTTTGGTCAATAAAAATGGCAATCAATGAACTTCTGAAGAGTATAATATTTCTTCTTTTGTGAATTTTACGGGATAACATTCAGAAACTTCACTTTCTAAATAGTTAAATAACTAATTTTGGTGCAGAATTTAGCATAAGTTGTTAGCAGGTTTCTCATTTAATTTAACTGAACATTAAAAAAAATATGTGTTTTAATATACGTGATATTTTTTTAATATTACAATTATTAAATTTAAAAACAATTATTAAAATTAATTAAAAAAATTTCACTATACACGCTTTATTTGTTCTGTTTGCTACAGAGGCTTTTTAATGCATTATTTTTCTTTACTTCTTTATATTTATATTGAATGAATTAAGGCAGTAATTTGAACATAGCATGGCTGAGTTGTTACAAATTGAAATATACTGCCACTTGATTATTTTAAAATATAAATATCTTGCTTTGTTTAACAACACTGAAAATAAATACTCTCATAAAAAAGAAGTTTAGCATTGGGCCATAATATTGTGCAAACTTGTTACAATTTTAATAAGAAAGGGAAACTACCATGTTCCTTTTAAAATCGAACCCTATTATCGAGGAATTAAGTTTAAGATGGTTCAATTTGCTGGATAATTTGGTTCAACTTGGAACCTTATGAAGCTTGCAGAAAATTTACACCATATTGTGGTTTAATACACTCCAAAAATTTCTAGCAAAGAAGGAGTATAGTTGTTGTTATCTTAGGTTATTAAGCCAAAATGTGTGATATTTCTTGTTTTCCAGTGGCACCATCTATGGCCAAGAATTCAAATTTTGTCACACGCGTTTACAGGGAACACCCACACATATACCCATTCATTCATCCCCAGATCATGCTTTTGAGCTGAACCAGAGGACGAACAATCTCCAATTCAGTACCCCCAGAGGTATAGTTTGTTATAGGAACATGAAAGACTTTGTGACCCAACAGATTTAACGCGCACCAGTCACCATTTACTACACGGGAAGTCTTCGGCCGACTGAATTCGAACTCTCGTTCTCACGAACACGAGTCCAGCGCCCTGACAACCAGAGTATCTCGAACCTAGGAATTTAGTACTATCATTTTATTTAAATGAAATGTTAATTCACCTTATCGAAAATCAAAATTAAATGTTCACTCGTAAAATTTGATTAATTTTTGCTTCGCATTAAATTTTTAAAATACTTTTTTCTGCTATCATTAACTATCTCAATTTTAGAGTGCATTAAATCTTAATTTCGTTCAAATTTGTCATACTTTTATTTGGTTTAAAAATGAACTGTACTACATTGCCAATTTATCATTCTTAAAGGTAATTACCAGATACTATGTCTCAACTTTAAAGTTAACATGCTTCAATTTAACACATTAGTAAAGCTTCAATAAATTTGCATGATATTATGAATAAAATTATCGATGTTAACGCTCAACTTTGAAATGATTTTTCAGAAAGTAATTTAAACTCACAATATTTGGAAACTTGAACTCTAAATATTTACTATAAGTTATTTGTAACTAAATATTTACTATAAGTTATATTAATATAAGTTATCTGAGTTTTCAATGCTTATTTTTGGATAAAAAAAAGAACATTCTGGATTAAATCGGCCCTGATTAATTCTGATAAAACCCATAAAATTCTAATACTTCAGATAAATGCCTTTTATTTCGAAAATCTGATAAACAAATTCAACGATTTTAAGCGTATCGGTGGCTATGATTCAGTAAACCTGCTCTCTCAAAAAAATTTGGTTCAAAGTTCAACTTTCATTTTTATACCTTGCACCATAATATCGCACAAATTTGAAACAATCTTAATGAAATATCAAATTAAAGCATGTTTCTATTCAAATTGAGCAATAATATCTTATAATCAAGTTTAAAATTTCACAATAATAAAGTTGCTGAAAACTTGACAATATTATAGCTCTATGCGATTCAAAATTTTTATCAGTGTTCGCCATAGTTCATCTAAGCGAAAGTCTTGTAGCGTTCTCTTTTTCCTTCTTTTTTTAACTAACAAAAGATAAAATATAAACGACCTAATTTTCTCATCACAACGCTCCAAAAACGTTAATCATAATCCTTTACAGCCTTTTTATACTTTTTAAATAATATCTACAAGGTTATCAAAAATTTCACACGTGTGCAAGGTCTCGTGTTCGCACCCAACTATAATAATACCATATAACAATAAATTTTCTGTATAAAATGATAAACGAGAATAAATTGGACTTACCTTGACTGAAATCATCAGCTGTTGCAAATGCAACGAAGAGAAAAATTGATAGTAAGTTTGATAAACATAGTTTAAGGCCACACCTAACAGTTCTTTTGTGCATATTTAACAGGACTGCTCTTTCCTTACTTTTAACAGGAGTTCACAGGAAAGCGCAGGAAACACAGGTGACCTGTAAAAGTAAATAATGAATAAGTTAGTGGGTCATTATTAAACTCTCATTCCTTATCAAGATTAACAAATGAATCTGAGTCATTTCACATGAAAACTTACAAACTTTGTCTGAAATAAACTTTCAATGATTTACAATAAAGGAAAAAATAAACTTTTGAAGTTATTCTAACGTATTTATACTGCTTTCTTCAACAAATTTCAGTTCCAAGCTTGTGTAGTAGGAGCCGTAAAAAGACTAGATTTTGCAGTTTATATTTTATTATAGATTCAAGGCAGCAAGTTCAATGAATCAAACTTTATGTTAATGTAAACATTACTCATCGCTGTAACTTAAACCGCGGAATTCACTGAAAAACGTATTTATTTAGTTTTAGCGCAATGATATAGTTTGGTTGAGCGTTCACATAGTTTTGGTTGTTTAATTTTAAAAATATTTATAGACAAAGAACAGGAATAATTTATACTTTTAATCCTTTTTATTTTTTAGAAAATTAATTTCATCACAGCAAAAATATAACTATGTTGATAAAAGTTTTAAAAACGTATAATATTTTATTTGTTAAATGACATTATTATTATTATATAAATTAATTTTAAGAATGCATTATTGATATACTTACTTTCTAATTATTGTACAATGCATCAAAAGTTATTTAAACAGTTATAAACTAATTATTGAAAAGTTTACTTGTATTTCCAGAGTAAGAAGAAAAGAAAATATTTTTTTTTAAAAATGCGCACTCAGTAATTAAGTAAAATCAAAACACAAATAAAATAGCAAAAGCAATATAAGCTAAATAAATTAATAAAAATTTCCTTAAAAGACTATTGCATACTTATGTTTTTATTTAACCTAATTAAATAAGTTAACAGATATTACTTATGACGTTTAACTAAGCCTTGTGAAATACTTTCATTAAAGGATTATATAGAACGTTGATAATAAAATATAAGAGCTATACAACAGAATAGTATATCTTTATACGAGTGACTGTTTTTAAATAACTTTATAAGTGTGAATAATGCATCTTTATAGATAGTAATTAATTTAATAAAAAAATACTCGTAAGCAACACTTTTTGGGATTTTTATAAACACTATAATGTTTATTTGTAGCATTTACAAAACTTTTTCATGAAATAATATTTAATTCGATTTTCAAGGTTATGTCACTACTGAGAGCATATATGATTTATTTTATATGTTTGGAATATAATTCTTTCAAACTCATCAACTGTTTTATTAACATTAACTAATATTTTCTATTATGTTATGCTTTCGTATATATTAAATATTTTATATATATTTTAAAAATGAATAATGGTCAAAAAGTTATTATTATTTAAATATGATTTTTAATAATATTGCAACCATAGCATTATTATTTCGTTTTTTTAAATAGTTGATAGTCAATAGTTGATGGCATAAAGTTGAGTAACGAAGTAAACAATACATAATCGAGTATGAAAAAGCGTAAAAACTTTTTTTTATCTCCAATAACTTACATTATAATGACTCCTGTCATTCGTCGAAATAAAACTGTAATGCAAACAAATGAAACAAAACGTTCTCTAAGAAAAAAATTTTTTAACCAAACAGATAGCTGTAATTTACGTGATTATAGCAAACTCAAAAATAAACTAAAAACATATTTGCTGTATTTTCAGAATAGTAATTCAAATTATTCAAGATCTGTTTTTGTTTTGTTTTTTTCTTTTCAAAAATCTCTATTTCTTAATCAAGTAATTTTTATAAATGTTCGGTGACGGTTAAGTCAGACTAACTTAATTCAGTTTGTACTAAATTACTTAGATTACTTAGATTACGATTAGAATAAAATATTTTTTTAGTACTAAGTCTTAAAAGACATACTGTATAAATATTTTGGACTATTGTTTTTTTTAAAGAAATGAAATGAAAAAGATGAGTCATAACAACAAACAACTTTCAGTAAAAAAAAGTTATTTTAAGTATGATCTTTAGCAGTTTAGGGGAAAAAAATTAGAAAGCTGTAAATAAAATTTATCGAAAAAAACATTTTAATTAAAAACTAATTACACAAAATAAGCATTAAATACTGATAAAAGTCAAGCGAAAGGCATGAATGCAAAGTATGTAAGCAGTGATCAGTTTGTGATTATTTCGGATAATGTGAAATAATTTTTCTTACAAATATACTAGTCAAGTTTGAATATCACGTCGTTATTAAAGTAGATTACTCACAGAGATTTTATTAACACTTTTTTTTTTAATTGAAATACTTTAAAATTAACAAACAAAAATTAACATTTTATTTTATTTCTATTGAATTTCATTTATTTCACTTATTTTCTCTTTTGAGAAGATAAACTTGAAAGGCTTTTTTTTATATATTTAGTGTAAATTCTTAAAAATAACTATTTTAAATGTAAATAGGCTCTACTTTAACGTAACACATAATTCAATTTAATGTAAAATACCACTTCTTTGAATTAAGTAGACTTCAAAATCAGATGTAAGAATGTAGATTAACATTTTTGCTATTATTTACTTTATTTAACATCATAAAAAAGCTAAAAGAAACATATTTTACTCTGGCAATATACTTACTGCTCAATAAATAAATAAAAATTATTATTTAATCAAAAAACGGAATTTAAATTGTGCTGTTGTTTTTTTGTTATTATTTACATTATTTAACTACATAAAATAGCTGAACTAAACATTTTTTATTCTAGATATTACTACTCAATAAATAAATAAAAATTGTTATTTGTTAAAAAAGGGAATTCAGGTTCCGCGAACTAAATAATTCTCGTTACATAAATGAAATGTAGAAAGATAAGCAGGCATTTTTCTAATTGTAAAATTTGATTTATTTGTAGATAACTTATAAACTTACTTTTGAACTATAAAATAAACTTATAAAACTCTTTTTTTATATATTTCATATACGTTTCTAAAAATAACTATTTTAAATACGAATAAGTTCTACTTTAATGTAACACATAATTAAATTTAATGCAAAACACCACTCCTTTGTGTTAAATAGAATTCAAAATCCATTGTAGGAATGTAGATTAACATTTTTGCTATTATTTACATTATTTAGCTACGTAAAAAAGCTAAACAAAACATTTTTTACTCTGGCAATATACTTACTACTCTATAAATAAAAAAATATTATTATTTAATCAAAAAACGGAATTTAGATAGCGCGGGTTTTTTTGTTTGTTATTATTTACATTATTTAACTATATAAAATAGCTGAACAAAACATTTTTTATTCTAAATACTACTACTCAATAAATAAATAAAAATCATGGTTCCGCGAACTAAATATATCTCGATATATAAATAAATTGTAAAAAGATAACCAGGCACTTTTCTAATTGTAAAATTTGATTTATTTGTAGATAACTTATAATTTACTTTTAAACTATGAAAGAAACTTATAAAGTTGTTTTTTAAAATATTTCGTATAAGTTTTTAAAAATAACTATTTTAAATACAAATAAGTTCTACTTTAAAGTAACGCATAATTAAATTCAATGCGAAATACCACTCCTTTGTGTTAAATAGAATTCAAAATCCGTTGCCGGAATGTAGATTAACATTTTTGCTATTATTTAACTACGTAAAAAAGCTAAACAAAACATTTTTTACTCTCAATATACTTACTACTCAATAAATAAAAAAAATTATTATTTAATCAAAAAACGGAATTTAGGTTGCGCGATTTTTTCTATTATTATTACATACTTTTTTTTGCCACATGATTGCTCAATACCCCTATTAATTTATTCCGGAGACAGAAGCAAAAGAGTACGGAGGAAATAAATATCAGATCCTAAGTAAATAAATCAAATACATTAAAATAGGTCAAAATCATGACTTTGAAAATAAAAGAAAACTTGATATTCAAACGGGTTGTTATGCAAAGAAAAAAGAAGTTGATTATAAATCATGCAGATAGTAGGCGCGGTACTTCATTACAATTTGAAATAAATAAAACACCTAAGATACATCTCGGATCTACTCTGGTTAGAAGATGCAATTATCACCTCCGCTTGAGCGTTGACCCATTTTGATCCCTAATTCATTTTCTCTTTTATTTATGAAATTGAATTTTTACACGAAATCAATGCTCAATTTTCTACCTGAAAGAGTGATTCAGTTCAAGGAATAGGTTTATTACGCTTTCAGGGTCGATGCTTTTTGTCATAAGTAAAATATATCTTTTTTTGATTAATTTAGTACCCAACCTTCAGATCTTATCACGGAATGATCAAACTTCAAACACAAATAAGCGGGGAATTTATGATCTGTTTCCCAGATATTGAATGATTCTACATGGAGTAGAAAAAATATGGGTTTTTTTTATGTAATTATCAAGAAAAACAACAAATTGGTTTCCGATTCTTTATAATCTTATCTCATAAACTATGTATCTTTATCATTTATTAGGAAGTGAAAGGAAAAAACCTGATGCGGCTACAAAGCTTTGGGCTATATTACTATACGCCACATGTAATCCAAAAGCAAAGTTTTGCAATAAATTATTACTTAGTATAGTTTCCAAATCCCCTTTGCATTTTACCATGTATAAAACACACTTTTATTATTATTATTATTAATTTAGTACCCAACCTTCAGATCTTATCACAGAATGATCAAACTTCAAACACCAAAAATCGGGGAATTTATGATCGGTATCTGAGATATTGAATTATTCTACATAGGATTAAGAAAAAGATATTTTTATATAATTATCAAGATAAACAACAAATTGATTTCTGACTCATTGTAATCTTATCATCATTATCATTTATTATGAAGTGAAAGAGAAATAAATTGATGCAACTTTGAAATGTAGGCGATTTAAAGGCATAAAGCAATATTGCGATATATTATCGACTATATATTAACTATTACTTTGTATTGTTTCCAGATAGGCAGCTCAGAAGTTCTTCAAATTACTACTAGAAAACAGCACAGATTATAGAATCGACATGGAAA